GGAAGAGAGATCTCTTTCCAAAGGGCCAGGGTCCTAGAATTGAGTCTCCTTGACTCTGCTTGACCTGGCTTGGATCACACACTGTGGCCAGAAGGATGTGCTGTCAGGTTGGCCAATCACTGGCCAATCAATCCCCAATCACTTGCTCACTTCTGGAGTCAGGAGTCAAGTCAGTTCTATCCAAATTGCATGGCTAGAGTGGAAGGAGGTGGTTCCATAAGGAAAATCAGGTTGGTGCTATGAAGATAAGGGGAGATACATGATGCCAGAAAGCACAGATGTCCATGAAGGTAGGCATTATCACCCTATTCTACTTATGAGGACATTAGGGCTTAGAGTGAGGTATTATAGTAACATGCCCAAAGTCACACAGTAACATTCAAACCTCAGGTATGTCTGACTTCAGAGTGCATCTTTTTTTTTTGAGACAGGGTCTCACCCTGTCACCCAGGCTGGAGTACAGTGGCATGATCACTGCAGCCTCAATCTCCTGAGCTCAAGTGATCCTCCCACCTCAGCCTCCCAAGTAGTGGGTCTACAGCCACACCCCACCACACCTGGCTAATGTTTGTATATTTTGTAGAGATGGGGTTTCGCCATGTTGCCTGGGCTGGTCTTGAATTCCTGGGCTTAAGCAATCCTCCCACCTCGGCCTTCCAAAGTAGTGGGATTACAGGCATGAGCCACTGTGCCCAGCCCGAGCTCATGCTCTTAACCTCAACACTCAATTGTATTTGCATCGCAAAATGTGCTACTGTTTGGAGTTAAGAAACCAGCTGCTGCTTATTATTCCATTTACTAACCTAAATAGAGTCATGGCTACTAGAGTATCTTTCTTTTCCATTTTGAAACAACAGTGATAGGAGATAAATCTTTGATCCCTTATTTATATTAACTTCTGTAACATACTGTCAATCTCTTATGACCTTAGACAGATGGATACCGAGCAACTATCCAATTACCGAAAACATCCGAGCCATATACTTGACCTTAGAAAAACTCATTCAGTCTGAAGAAACCCAGGTGAATGGAATTGTAATTCTTGCAGACTACAAAGGAGTGAGTTTATCAAAAGCGTCTCACTTTGGCCCTTTTATAGCCAAAAAGGTGATTGGCATCCTCCAGGTAAGACCCCTATCTGTCCTGCCTGTTTCGTTGTGACTTTGGCTTTCCCCAGGGCCTGTCCATTTACTGTGGGTCTCACATGATACACAAACTGCACGTCCCACACCTACAGTCTGAAAAACACAAAAGCATTATGTTTAGAAATTTAAAAGTCCTATTTACCACTTGTTCTCATCAGTCTCTCAAGTACTCTCTGAAATAGGTACTTCAGGAAGGCAAGAATCCAAAAAACTAGGGAACTGCTTTTTGCCTTTTTTTGGTCTGGAAGGCAGAGGAAAAATTCTCCTAACAAAACTGGCTGGGCGCAGTGGCTTACGCCTGTAATCCCAACACTTTGGGAGGCTGAGGCAGGTGGATCACTTGAGGTCAGGAGTTTGAGACCAGCCTGGCCAACATGGTAAAACCCCGTCTCTACCAAAAATACAAAAATTACCTGCGCATGGTGGCAGGCAACTGTGATCCCAGCTACTTGGGAGGCTGAGGCAGGAGAATCACTTGAACCCGGGAGGCGGAGGTTGCAGTGAGCTGAGATCGCGCCATTGCATCCAGCATGGGCGAGAACAGCAAAACTCTGTCCCCCAAAAAAGTTTTGAAAAACTTTTAAGAAATTATGCTTCTGCGTAAGGTGCTGGAGCCCCTCCTGCCCTCTGTGGACCTGGGAGATATGGCGTTCTGTTGGGCTGTATTTTGGTCAAATGCTTCACACCTCATGTTGTTTCAGAACATTCACTGGGGACTGTGGTGCTCCCTCCATATCTACACCGTGTTTAATGGCTTGTACAGTGCTTTACAGTCATCAGGGCCCATTCAGTCCCTCAACGAATCTTCTGAGATAGGCAAGGCAAGAACTATTTTTCCTTTTTGATAGACGGGGAAATGGAGACCTAGAGAAAATATAGCCTGTCACAGCTGTGACAGGTTCTGATTACTTGTTCAACACCCGCCACATGGGGTGTTGTCCTTTGTGAACTATGGGGCACCAGTGATATAGTAGCTCTTTTTACTGGATTCCACAAATGTTTCAGTCCCTGTGGTGCACCAGGTTTATTATTTTAAAAAATCAGTTTACATTCAGACATTATCAAACATTTGGATTCTGGCTTTGAGCCAACCCTGGCTTTCCTTCGCTGGCACTGCTTTTGATGCCTCCTGCTGAATACCATGTAGATTCAAGTGCCAGGATCAAGAGTGTGGATCAGTGTTAGTACTGTAAGATCATCTGGAGAGGAGAACAAATTAAGTAAGTTTGGGAAATGCTGTATAGCATGTCCCTTTCAGTTTAAGAATGTCCAATTCTTAAACTGTAAGAATTTACATGTTAAAGGCTCTGAACAGGACTGCAGTTAAGGAAACCACTTGATTATGCTTAGCGGACTGCGTTTCTCAAACTCATTTGCCTGCTGTGGAGCCCTGTTTTGTATAACCTCTAATATCCTGAGAAATATACTTTGGGCAACACTGATCTAGAAGGTCTGATGTTTGCCGGATCCGTCCCTGTAGACTCAGACTGTTTTCTGCTATAAGAGCATCATCTCTTCGTATGTTTGCTTCTCTTCTTCTTTTTTTTTTTTGAGATGGAGTCTTGCTCTGTCATCCAGGCTGGAGTATGGTGGCACGATCTTGGCTCACTGCAACCTCCGCCTCCAGGGTTCAAGCAGTTCTCCAGCCTCAGCCTCCCAGGTAGCTGGGATTACAGGCGTGTGCCATCACGCCCAGCTAATTTTTGTATTTTTAGTGGAGGTGGGAGTTCACCATGTCGGCCAGGCTGGTCTCAAACTCCTGACCTGAAGTGATCTGCCCGCCTCGGCCTCCCAGAGTGCTGGGATTACAGGTGTGAGCCACCACGCCCAGCCTCCATTTGCCTCTCTTCTAACCCAGTTTTGGGTCCCAGGAAAGACTTTCCCTGAGGCCCATCTTCTAGTTAGGCCCCACGTGGACTGTCATTGAGGAGGCCATAAGGATCAGATCAGACTGATGTTGGGGCTGAAAATGAAGATTTAACTCTGGGGAGGAAGGAGTGGAAAGATTCTCCAGATGTTCTAAACCCCTTTGCCTTTCCCATACAGGATGGTTTCCCCATTCGGATAAAAGCAGTCCATGTTGTGAATGAACCTCGAATATTTAAAGGCATTTTTGCCATCATAAAACCATTTCTAAAGGAGAAAATAGCAAACAGAGTAAGTGATGATCCTACTGACTTCAGATTTTTCTTTCCCTCCATTGATTTATTTGTGACATCTGGTACTTGTTTATTATTTTTGCCCTGTAACGACTCACTTGGAAAGTAGAGTTACAGATAAAATAAATGAACAGTCCCTTCTGTGAGGGGAAGATGGAACAGTAAATTAATAAGAATTTAATATTTGCCAGTAGGGAGAGGAGAACCAGGATTTTTATCATAAGAGCCTCCCTGGGCAGTATAGCAAGACCCCATCTCTAAAAAAATTTTTTAAATTAGGTGGGTGTGCCCGGGCGGTGGCTCACGCCTATAGTCCCAGCACTTTGGGAGGCCGAGGTGGATGGATCAGTTGAGGTCAGGAGTTCGAGACGAGCCTGGCCAACATGGTGAAACCCCATCTCTACTAAATACAAAAAATTAGCCAGGCATGGTGGCACATGCCTGTAATTGCAGCTACTTGGGAGGCTGAGGTAGGAGAATCACTTGAATCCAGGAGGCAGAGGTTGCAGTGAGCCGAGATCATGCCACTGCACTCCAGCCTGGGCAACAGTGGGACTCTGTCTCAAAAAACAAAAAAGAAATTAGGTGGGTGTGGTGGCACATGTCTGTAGTCTCCATTAGTCAGGAGGCTGAGGTGGGAGGATTGCTTGAGCTCAGGAGTTCAAGGCTGCCATGGGCTTGAACAATGGGCTATGGTCTTGCCATTGTATTCCAGCCTGGGTAACAGAGTGGAACACTGCCTCTAAAATAATTTTTTTTAAAGTTATGGTCATTAGAACTATGGGGTTTAAAAATGCTACTTAAGCCTTTCCATTTGCCTAATATGTTGTCCTGCTGTATAGTTTGTGGAGCAATTCAAGGTTTATAAGCTGTGTGAGTTTTTAGCTTACCTCTTACTTAAGAAGGGATAAATGGTACTTTGAGTCTTCCTTTCTGACCCAGAGGAGCCACTTCCCTCTTCAGCCTTTCCCAGTCTCACTGATTGAAATGGGATGGGTGGTATTTTTCTCCTTCCCGAGGCCTAGGAAGATGACTGCAAAGACTGGGCCCTGAATTTTTCTTGCTTTTTCTTTTTTTGAGACGGAGTCTTGCTCTGTCACCCAGGCTGGAGTGCAGTGGTGCGATCTCAGCTCACTGCAACCTCTGCCTCTGGGGTTCAAGCAGTTCTCCTGCCTCAGCCTCCTGCTGGGATTACAGGCACGCACCACCACGCACAGCTATGTTTTGTATTTTTAGCAGAGACAGGCTTTTACATGTTGGCGAAGCTGGTCTCAAACTCCTGACCTCAGTTGATCCACCCGCCTTGGCCTACCAAAGTGCTAGGATTACTGGCATAAGCCATCGCACTGGCCCCTTGCTTTTCCAAAGTAACATATATAGATAGAAAATCCCAAGGAGGTAAAGGAGGGAACTTGAAATCCAGCTCCAGATTCCTAGGCTGTTTGCCTGAAGATTTTGATTCATCAGCTCAGGAATCTGTGCTTTAAAATCCCCTTAGGAAATTGTGATGCACAGCTAGATTTGCAAACCACTAACTTAGTGGCTTCCCTGCCTGGGTGTGAACCCATGTGGGTCCCTAAAGATTCTGTTTGGAACTTTTACCAAAGCAGCCTTTGGACAGATCCTTTACATCTGTGAAATGCCCTGATTTGGGGCCCATGATGTTCTTCCTTTGTTCCTTCATAGGTTCATTCATTCAGAAATACCTATTGATCAACTCTATGTACAAGCATGTTCTAGATGAACAAAACAGACCAAAACCCCTCCCCCTAGGAAGATTATGTTCTAAAGGGAGCCATAGTGAATGCTATCTAGTATTAGAATGTGGTAAGTGCTACAGAGAAAAAGCAGAGAAAAGGATAGCGTGTGTGAGGTGGGAAGGGTTGCGGTATTCAACTGAGTGGTTAGAGGTGGCAGCCTTAAGAAGCTGACATTTGAGCAAAGACTTGAGAGAGTGAGCCATCTAGGTATCTGGGAGGCCAGCAAGGACACCACCCTCACGTGGGAGAGCAGCATGCTGGGAGAGCAGCTAGGCTGGCTTAGCTGGGTCAAGACTGGAGGGGCAGGTGGTGAGAGCACTCAGAGAAGTAATGAGGCCAGACTGTGATGGGCCTCAGAGTCTGAGGTGGGAGTGCTGGAAGGCTGTACATAGAGGCACGACTGTAATCTGAATTTCACTGAAAAGAACTTAGATTGCAGAGGGACAAGAGTGGGAGCAGGGAGACCAGATAGGAGGCCACTAGAGGAATCCAGGGAGAAGCGATGTGGCTGATGCCATTAGTGTGGTGGTGAGGCGGCTGGATCCTGGATACATTCTGAAGCTCCAGCCAGCAGGGCGTATGGTATAAGGAAAAGATAATTAAGGATACTCCAGGCTTTCTGGGCTGAAAAAGTAAGGGTAGAGTTGCCATTAACCTTTCCTTTCTTCATTCAACAGATATTTGAGCACCTACCATGGAGGAAATTTCTGCATTCCTGATTAACCTAAGGACATGTGTGTTTTCATTTCATTCCCTTTTAGTTCTTCCTCCATGGGTCTGACTTGAACTCTCTCCACGCAAACCTTCCAAGAAGCATTCTCCCCAAGGAGTATGGGGGCACAGCTGGGGAGCTGGACACTGCCACCTGGAACGCGGTACTGCTAGCTTCAGAAGACGATTTTGTGAAAGAGTTCTGCCAACCTGTCCCTGCCTGTGACAGCATCCTGGGCCAGACACTGCTGCCTGAGGGCCTGGCCTCAGATGCACAGTGTGACGACTCCTTGCGAGCTGCGAAGTCACAGCTGTACTCCTGCTACTAGCCCGTCCCCCAGGGTCACCATCTTTAATTCTTTTCCTTCTTTTCTTTGGAGAGGCACAAGGAGAATTTAAGGGGCCAAGGATTCAGTCTTGCTCCTTGTAATTAAACTGCAGGATGGAGGAACAGCCCATGAGATATGAGGGTAAGCCTTTGGTTACTTGAATTACTCCATGGAAGACATGGAAAATGTCCCCACTGATTCTTAAACATTTGGAATCCCAGTCTGCAACTATTAATCTGTAGGCTGTATCTGTTTTGTTCTGCTTTTTGGTTGGGGGGTGGTGATCTGGTTCTTACACATCTTGGAAGCAAGAAAAATCAGGACCAGAGTCACTTTGATCCCACTTTTCCAGGAGAAAAACAACCTGTTTGGCCAGTAAGAACTACTTGTATGAAATAATTTGGCCAAACCTGCAGTGTGACCAGACGTGAGACTGGGAGTTTGTGTTTTTCACAGGAACCCTAAGTACAGACCTCTGCTGCTCATCAGGAAACTTACTGGAGATCAAGGCCCCAGCTGCTGCCACTGGATTTGGAAAGCACCTTAACTGAATCATGCAAGCATCAGGACATAAGCAGCACTTTGTGGTCAAATGTGGAAGCCGGAGACTTCAAAGCACCTCTGGGACCCATTGGTTGAAGCTTGCAATAGAAACTTAAGTTTTCCCAAATCCATAAAGCCTTAGCCCTGGTTCTCAATAGAATCATACAGGGACCTAGCAGGAAATGATTTTACTCAACCTAAAATGCTGGATTCCAGGCCTGTGTAGCTACAAGAATTCTGGCCTGGATCCCAGGTATGCAACTATGGACAAGACATGGGCCTCTGTAGGCCTCAACCTTCTCTATAAAATAAGGTGGGATGAAATGTCAGCTAGGGCCGTTTTGGCTGCTGAGGCTGTGGGATTTGGTTTAGTTACTGAATGTTAGATTTTCTGCCTAGAAAGATATCTAGATACAAGTGGTTGGATCCTGTTTTTGTTTGTGGTACACATGTCTTTCCAAGAGAGATGTGTCAGTAATTAGCTCTGCCTTTAAAGAAACTGTTAGGTGTATTCCTGGGACTCACTGACACCAATTTTCTTTCTATAGTGATGGTTAAATTTGGAAAATATGGCTTTTATGAGGCCAGAAAAGGTGACCAGGATCTTGTATGATGAATTCCTTCCATCCCTGAGACTCTGTTACTATATTGTAAACCTAGCTACAATGATTAATTACTTGAGATTCTTAAATTCTGGTCTCTGGGCCGGGTGTGGTGGCTCACGCCTGTAATCCCAGTACTTTGGGAGGCCAAGGTGGGCGGATCACAAGGTCAGGACTTCGAGACCAGCCTGGCCAAGATGGTGAAGCCTATCTGTACTAAAAATACAAAAATGAGCTGGGCATGGTGACTGGTGCCTGTAGTCCCAGCTACTGGGGAGGCTGAGGCAGAAGAATCACCTGCACCACTGCACTCCAGCCTAGGTGACAGAGCAAGACTCTGCCTCAAAAAAAAAAAAATTTTTTTTTTTGGTCTCTGGAAATGAACACAAGTACAGATTATTGCTGGGTCACTTCTGGGCCCCCCCCTGCCCTCCCAGCCCCACTTGAGTTTCTCTCTTTGGTGTGGGTGAACCAGTCAGCCTGAATGTTCTGCATTTCAGCTCTTTAGAACCTCCCTGCCAAGATTTTAGTCTTAGCCCAAACATCAAATTAGATGGTTCACATGATGGCTTTTGACCTATTTCCTTTCTAATGTATTCCACATGCTCATGGTGTTAAATAGTGAAAAGTACCGTGTGTTGTGTGTGCACCTTCTCCATGCATCTGTTAGACTAACCAGTCAAGGTGGACAGCTCAGTTAGGGAGAAAACAATACTCTGAAATTTGAAGGCCAGTCTGTTGTTACTTAGCTATTCATCTCTATCGCCTTTTTAAATGTCTGGAGAAGTTGTTGGTGGAAATTACTTTACTTCATGAATACCAATTCTAGAGGAAGTTCTTTTCACTATGGATCGTAACCCTGGATCCTCTAGGGTCCTGGCTGAGCTGGAAGTGCCAAAAAGCACTCCTGGCTGCTTCTAGTTCCATCTGACGATGATGTGACCAGCACTGCTGAAAAGGCCCAAGTAGGGCAAGTGGGATGGCTAAAGGAGGGGGTTCAGAACCTGGTGGCCTGGATGGGAGAATTGGGTGGAGGCTTTCTTAAGTCCCAAGAAGGAAGACAGATAAACAAAACAAAAACTAGGTAAAGAGGAATGAATCACTCAGCCCTGATGTTTCAATTCTACACTGCATTCCTGGCCAGTGGCATTTGTTTTAATGTAGGCATGGCCAAAGCTCTCCTAGAGAATTATCTCGAAGACCAGAAGTGATTTGGAGAGGCCTATTTCTTAGGTTTTTCCAGTTGGACAAGGAAGGAGTGGTTTCACTCAGCTTCTAGGAGTTGGAGCCTACGTTTATCTGCCTCCGAGAGCTGCTTGCTTTGTTCTGGCTCCAAAGAGATATCAAATAGTTTTGGCACCTCAGGGAGCTTGAACTACGCTGTAAAACCACTTCCCTGGGTGAAAATCAAGGTGGTCTCCTTGTGGCTTCAGCAGGGTGTTTGCGTCACACTGTCTCAGCAGGGTGGGAATAACCAGCTAGGGAGCACACTGGTGAGGCAAACACATGAACCTCAAGAACTGGGAGTATGTTCCTTCACGGAGACGTTCTGGCCCATTGCACAAACACTTGGAAATTAACTTTTCCCTAAATTCAAGGTAATGTGGTGTCGGAGGGAAATGGGACGGTAAATTAGGAGACGCAGGCTCCATCTTTACCTTACTACGTGCCCTTGGGTGAGCTGCTTAACATCCCTGAGTGATTCTGTGATAGAGATCTATACTCCAAATTTTATTCCTTATATTTAGTTGGCTTCACTGCCACAGAGACACTGTACTCTCTTTGTAGAAGCTTTTTTCCTTTTTTCCCCCCCTCAATTGGCTTGTTATTTAGGAAATTTAGGTCTGAATGAATTGGTACCTAAAAGCTTCCAAATGTATCTATACATTTCAGAATATGGGAATTTTCTTCCTCTTCTTCCCCCATATCCCAACATGGAATTCTGGAAAATTGTGCCTCTTCCCCTGTTCTGCCTTCATGGGGGAGAGACTGGATGAAATCTACAGAAACAGCCAAAAGTGCCACCCTGGCTTCATGTCTTGAGTTTCCAACTTGCTCTTGGCAAAGGTTGCTTTATTTTTTACATTTTTTTCCTTGCATTTTCTTTTTTATTCTATTGCTGCTGCAAAAATTAAGGCAAAAGTACCTTTAGATCTTTCATATTTCATCCTGGTTTCACAAGGAGTCACTTACTTAGGAGGTCTATAAGTCAGGTTACAAGGCCGGGCGGGGTGGCTCACACATGTAATCCCAACACTTTGGGAGGCCGAGGCGGGTGGATCACCTGAAGTCAGGAGTTTGAGACCAGCCTGGCCAACATGGTAAAACCCCGTCTCTACTAAAAAATCAGCTGGGCATGGTGGCGGGCGCCTGTAATCCCAGCTACTTGGAAGGCAGAGGCAAGAGAATCACTTAAACCCAGGTGGCAGAGGTTGTAGTGAGCCGAGATAGTGCCACTGCACTCCAGCCTGGGTGACAAGTGAAACTCCATCTCAAAAAAAATAAAAGTAAAAAATTTTTAAATCCGGTTACAAAACACAATTTTTCCAGAAATATGACAGTAAGAGGCATTTTTCTAAATACTATTTGACTCTCAGATCATGGGATTTTTTTTCATTTGGGTAGCAAAAGCTAGAGTACTGCTGTGGTGATTATAATACCTTTTAAAAGTTTTACCATTTTAAAGTTGCCAACATTTAAGGTTTTCCTTTGAAGCCTCCTTTAATTTAGGGAGTAAAATGTTAGCTAAACCAATTATATACTATATACTGTATCTCCTGTGGCCATGAGAGGTGTGGAGATACCGAACAGAAACATGTCTACTGTTCAGGAAAGATGTCGGTTCTGGCAACACCTCTCCATATTGGGATCTGTTAATTTTGTAAATCTAAATTCTTCTGCTCTTGGCCAGGTGTGGTAGCTCATGCCCTGTAATCCCAGAACTTTGGGAGGCTAAAGGGGGGGCATATCATTTGAGATCAGGAGTTTGAGACCAGCCTGGCCCACATAGTGAAACCCCATCTCTACTAAAAAGTACAAAAATTAGCTGGGTGTGGTGGTGCTTTCCTGTAATCCCAGCTACTTGGGAGGCTGAGGCAGGAGAGTCGCTTGAACCTGGGAGGCAGCAGTTGCAGTAAGCCAAGATGGTGCCACTGCACTCCAGCCTGGGCGACAAAGCAATACTCTGTCTCAAATAAATACATTCTTCTGCTCTTCTGACTTAGAGAAATGGTTTGCTTAAAATGCTAGTAACAAACATCAGAGCCAATAGGAGCTTGGTTCATGGGAAGGATCAATGTGATTTGTGGATGGAGATGATAGTGATGAAACTCCTGCTTCATGAAGCTGTTTTTCTTTTCATCTCACTGGGCAGCAGATTTAGTGAGGCAGTGAGATGCTGCTGCTGTGGATTCTTGTGGCTATGCCTCAGCTTCTTGGCCTATCAGGTAGGAACCTGTTACAAGTGAAATATCTGAAACCTCTCTGACCAAGAGCCTCTGATGGAATGGGAGGTGAGCTGATTTTCTGACCAGCTTGGGGCACTGTTTCAGCCACTGGTCACATTCCTTGCTTCAAACTGAAGTTCAGTTTGGCTTTGAGCATAGGGATACATGGTGGATTCATGTACTTCAGTGTTTGTTTTGACCAAAGTTTATTTTTCTAAGTGCATTTTCTAAGTCAAAGTGGTGAAAATAGGTAATTTTAGTATGCATGACTGGGTCTGAAACAATAAAAATCTCTGAAAAGTTAAATGTGCGTGGGGTTCTTTTGTGATGATGACAGTTTGGATAAAGGTTCCAAGGTTCATTATTCACAGCCCGGGGAGACAGTCTCCTCTGCAGGTGAGGGAGGGAGGGGCACTGTGATAGGACAGTGCATTCTGTAGACGCGCCAGCTGCCTCTGAAGACCATACGCAGTTACACTGCTGCAATAGGTACAGGAGAATGCAGCTAGCTACACAGAGCAGTAGAGGGATATACTGATACACAAATTTTCACATTCTTGAGGCCCGGCTATACTTCTTGGACTGGCCTTAAGTCTTTCCAGTGATAGCCAGCCATTCCCTGAATGTGCATGTGGGCTGGGCACACATATGTTAAGGACACTCATAAATAATCTCTTTTAACTTTCAGCTACCCTTAATGAAGTCATGCTACTGTTCCTGTTGGGAAAATGTAGCTTGCCCAATGACACACAACTAGCCAAATACTAAGGATGGGATTCAAACCCAGGAAGTGTGACAAGCCCACTATTTTCTCCTGATGGCAGGAGACAAATAACCAGTCCCCAGATAGAAAAGAGAGAGAAGGTAGGACTCTTTCATAGAGTAAGAAAGTACCAGACATTGACTTTTTTCCTGGCTTCTTGAAAATACAAGCAGTGGTTGTTAACCTTTCTGAAACCCAAGCTGTAACTGAACATTTTATTCCAGAAGTAAACCCAGACTCCATGAGGGGTAACTGGATCATGGCTTGCCCAACTCTGGTCCCATGCTTGCTAAGCTGTTTCTGTGTCCCCTGTTTGGTACTCTGTGCCCCAGAGTAGACAAAAACTAGGTCTCCATGGTAGATCTGGTGACTTGATGAGTCAGTTGAGAAATACTCTAACACAAGAGGTACACTTTTGATGATGCAACAGGTTAAGTACTTATATTGCAGCATAACCAGCCCTTCAGGTCAGCCTTCCAGAGGAAATTGTGGAACTTAAGTTCAGTCTGTTTCTCACGTATAGAAAAATGAAGCTAACTGTTAAAATCCTTTTCTCTCACAGCAGTCTTACGAGGCCCTTTGCTATGAGTCAGTATTTTCTTGATGCCTCCTGCCCCCTCCTTACACAGTACTGGTTTGGTACCCATGCACTCAATGGCAGCAAAGTTTCACATTATTGCATTTAAAGGGTGAGTAATAAGACCCTTTAGGGTGCCACTCTTCTGGGGAAAATGTTTTTAACCTAATATTCATGCTCCTTCCTGAGTAGGTGCCAGCCACTAGGGATATGCTGACCTAGTAAAAAACATGAGTCACTCCCTTCAGGTGACTACTAACTTGACTTTGTCAGTGATGGGTAGAGAGGCAAAACACTCTGTGCCTGAGAGTAGACAAAAACTAGGTTCCCATGGTAGATCTGGTGAGTTGGTGATGAGTCATTAATGAGCCAGATGACTCCCCTACATGTCTCTAATAAATCTTGTCTCTTATATTCTTATGGGCCAAGAGACAATGAGGTCTAATTGAAAAAACAACTCTTAAGCCAAGCCCCGGCTCTTACTGAGTAACCACAGGGTTAGTAACCACTTAGAGAAGTCATGAACTTCTCTAAGCCTCAAACTGATATATAAAAGGAAGGACGGAGGGAAATAATCACCACCTTACAGGCATGTGGATACTGTCTGTTTAATGCTTGGTACACCTACCCATCTAGGTGGTTTCTATTATTCTTCTTCACCTGAGAACATAGGCATGCTGTAGCTTGAGTCATCCAGCAGCAATTAGGACATCACTGAGTTGGGTGCCTAGGTAACAGGATGGACAGACCAACACAACAGGAGTAAAGAGATGAACAGCAGCTTCCATTAATAAGCATAAGCCTACTATCTGTTATCAATCTGCACAGATCAAATGCAAGACTCATTATGTGAATACTCGCTTAAGCCTGAATGTGCAAAATGAAAACAGCCGGGTGCAGTGGCTCGTGCCTGTAATCCCAACACTTTGGGAGACTGAGGCAGGTGGATCACCTGAGGCCAGGAGTTTGAGACCAGCCTGGCCAACATGGTGAAATCTCATCTCTACTAAAAATACAAAAATTAGCCAGGCGTGGTGGCACGTGCCTGTAGTCCCAGCTACTCAGGAGGCTGAGGCAGAAGAGTTGCTTGAACCTGGGAGGTGGAGGCTGCAGTGAGCCAAGATGGCATCACTGCACTCCAGCCTGGGCAACATAGCAAAACTCTGTCTAAAAAGAAGAAAAAAGAACCAGTTACAGATTTCTTTGTTCCTTCTCCATTCCTCACTTGACTAGCCGAAAAGAAAAAAAAAAAAAACACCTCTATACTGAGAAGCAGGTCCACGGCTACTCTTTGGCAGGCAGTCTCTTTGATTATCAAGAGAAAGTTCTACCTCCCAACCAGGTACCCCGCAAGACCAACCTAGAAAGTAAAGGAGTCCAGCACGGACCTAGCAGCTTTCTCCCAGCTTTAACGAGGTAAAAGTGGCAGCCACTGCTATTGCCTTTGATGAGTTCCTAGAGCATGTCCCTGATCTGAAAGCCAGGGCTCCAACTCGCATTCCCCAAGGCTAGGCAAGCCCTTTCATAGTGATGAAACACAAAGGTAGTCATCTGGAATGAGATGCCACCCTGAGATCAGATGACTCAAAATACTCCCCTACTTTAAATGATGATCCTGGCCTTACTCAGAATGCTGGCTTACTTATGCTTGTGTATAATTCAGCACTCACATGTATAATTCACTTGAGTCTTGATCAAACTACTGTGTTTCCTACTAACAGGCAGACTTCATTACTTCTTAAGGTAGGACCAAGCAAAGCAGGGACACTGCCGCCCGGCTTTTAAAGGGCATGTGTTACTTCAAATTAATATCAAAGTTATCATCATGAGAAAAAAATAAAAACTTTATTGGACTTTGTTACATTGATTTTACAGTTTCACACTGTTTGTATTTTGAATCACATTAAGGCAGGGGATGGGGCACTGTAATGTTTGGAAGTTTAGGACCTTTAGAGCACTTAAGCTGACCCCGCTACTGTAAAGAAAAGCGGGGTGTCTGCTTGACACCAGCAAAATAAGGGGCTACATGTCCCCATCTATCCCTCAAATCCCTTGAAATGCTACATCCTGACATAAACCACTGGTTTAAAAGACAATGATTCCAATAATTTATATCAAGTCCTGCTTCCCTACCCCCCACCTCCACCCTAACTAAGCTTGTCCCCTCTGTGTTCCTCTGTTTAATTCTGTAACAACATCTGAAATCCAGCCATCATCAGATTCTGGCTAAACATCTCTGACCTTTGAATATTGTCTTATTTTAGCCCATAATGAGATCAGCAGCTACTGTCAGTGCTGAAAATGGGTTACACTTTGCAAAATAATTTTATTCTTTAACAATCTTGTATACTGGGCACCAATACTGAGGCTCAGCTGCCCATGGTCATAAAGCATAGTATGTACTCAACAAATACTAGCTGACCAGTTTGACAGCCAGAAAACAGCAAAGCTGGGATGCAAACCCAAGCAGTCTGACTCCCAAGCCTCTTAACCATTCTTAACAGACCACCTACCTCCATTCTTCTTCAAACACGTTCTTCCTGTTTGCCACCTGAATAAACGGAACCCACTATCCACCCAGATGGTTAAACCAGAATCACTCAGAAATCTATCTCTCCCTCATATTATTCATAACTGCCAGTGTTAAAATTCTAATTGCTGGCCCGGTGCAGTGGCTCACGCCTGTAATCCTAGCACTTTGGGAGGCCGAGGCGGGTGGATCACGAGGTCAGGAGATCAAGACCATCCTGACTAACACGGTGAAACCCCGTCTCTACTAAAAATACAAAAAAATTAGTCGGGTGTGGTGGCGGGTGCCTGTAGTCCCAGATACTAGGGAGGCTGAGGTGGGAGAATGGCATGAACTGGAGGCGGAGCTTGCAGTGAGCCTAGATCGGGCCACTGCACTCCAGCCTGGGCGACAAAGTGAGACTCTGTCTCAAAAAAAAAACAAACAAAAAAAAAACTAAAATTGCTAAGTAGCCCTCACCTGTCATTTTCTCCCCATTATTCCACTTTTCTATTTCACATCTCATATGGACTGCTCCTGGTCTCATCTCTCTAAATCCATTATATAAATCAGCCCAAGTGACTGAAGATAAAATTTGTTCACGACACTATGAATATGTTTTCAGCTGCCCTCAACATACGGTCCAAACTCTTTACTGAGGTTGATAAAGCCCTTTATAATTCAGTCCCTGACTACATTTCCCCATTCCAGCTTTACTGAACTTTTTTTTCTCATCTTCCTGCCTTTAACATGCAGTTTTATCTACTCCAGAAACGTCATCTCATTTTCCCATCTCTCTCTCAGCTAACTTCTAAGAGTTCTTGGCTTAAATATCACTTTCCCCAGAAAGCCTACCATTACACCAAATACCTCTCCTTTGAGTTCTCTCCGATTCCTAAACCACAGCACTAATTTGCCATATTATAAATGTCAGCTCATTTGCTGTCTTCTCTAAGCTATTAAAGTCCAAGAGGGCAGAGCCTCTATCATGTTTAACACTGTGCCCCAAAACCTACAGGGTCTAGTGCAGAACAGACAGTAAATCTTTGTTGAAAGAACTCTTTTATTCTACCTTTTTGCATACCACCTCTCATGAAAATGTTTCTTGACAATGCCTTCCCTGTCTCTCATCTACCAAGTGTCTCACCTAGAGAAGATATTTAGGACAACTTTTGAATAAATTCAAGACTTTGCTCACTAGCCAGACCGTAATTTTCAGAAGGAATAGGAGCATCCAGACTAGAAGCCTGATAAAACGTGGCTATCCAGAAAATAAAGAATGGCTGCGAACTCATAAAAGTTGTTGAAAGAAAGGGCATTAAAATCTTAAAACTCTTTTTTAACCAAATACCTTCGTAGTGCAAATATAATTAATTCACATGCATTTTACTTTTACATACTCATAACAAGATAATTACACAAACTAAAGCTGCAGTGTTTTCCCAAGTGAATCTTCATTTTAACCAAACTCACAAAGCATTTATTGAAATTAATACATCTGGCAAAGCACCAGACTTGAATCAAGCAGTATCAATACTACAGTGTACAAAAAGTAAATTAAAAAACTCAAGATGTAGAAGCAGTAGCCATTCTTCTTGGGAATCAGCAACCATTCTTCTAGGGAAGGGACCCACATACACAATCCTTCCCCAAGAACTTTGATGCTACCCCTCTGAAGAGTTTAAGCACAAAACAGAGTGCTTGTATCATATAAGTAAGGACTTTCATAGAGGAAAACTGTAATATAAATGCATTTTTTTTTTTTTTTGCTTTTAAAGGATACTGCAATATAAATATATTAAGCATGGCCTCAAATATCCAACATTTTCCTATCTTACATTTTAAACCAAAGTTGAAAGAACCTACAGGCTTTATAAAGAACTCTCTTCACAGCACAGCTGTAGTTCACTTTAAACAAAAAATGTTCCCTTTGTGCTATATCCTTAAAAGTAAACAAAATATACAGATAAATGAGAAGTTTAGATTCTGCATCAAGCATTATTCAATCTCACCTTCTGATATAAACCTGGATACAGTCAAACTTGCAAAGCATTCACTTAATATTTTAGTTGAAGCAAACTTAAAAGGTATATGAGTTTTCGGTGAAGGAGACCTTTGTGAGTTTCAGTGGTGTCCTTGGCACTCAGAGGTTCAGCTGAAGTCCCGACTGGTGAGGACAAGTGGAGCCACAAGGGTCCAGACGTAAAGCAGGAGGCAGACCCAGCTGGAGCTGATCTTTACCCACACAGCTGGCCACTTGCTGGTCATGCTCTGAAACTTTGCATCAGGGCTAAGAAAACAAGAGAGAGTCAGGTAGAAGAGACCGGTCTACCTGACTTCTGTCAGCCTTCTGCAGCCCCCCAGCCAAGGCCAAGAAATTCTCCAGTGAAACTTGGCTGGCACTACCCCCCAGTAGGGTTGTAGAGGGGCCAGAGGAAGCTGCTATTTTTAGTTGTTATGACCAAGAACTAAAGAACTCATTGACTCTGTCTTTCAAATGACTTTTCCTCTTGCCAGCATGAAAGACTATCAGGGCAAAGTTCTTTAGATGTTCCTAGTTATTGGCAAAAGTCTAGATTGAGATAGCCTCCCTGAAACTTTTCTTTGTTAGTACATTATTACTTGAACCAGAATGCTCTGACATGGCCATCTCTATACACAGAAAATTAGTGAACAAAGATGGGTCAGATTGCTTTATGTCATGATTTTCTCTCAATTAACTCAACTCTGTAAGAGCTCCCAGCGATTTGCACTGCAAAGAATTCCAATGGGTTTTAAATGCTAGAGGGGATAAAGTCAAGAGTATTTAACCCAACTTCATAATATGAGTAAGAGCAAGGGTTCTGAGATCAGGACAATGGATGAGATTTTATAGGCCATCCAAGGGTTTTATGATCTTCCGTCTGTTTTGTCTGTGTCTCCTACCTGTACCAGCTGGTCAGGGTCATCATGATGTACAAGGAAGCCAAGCAGAGCATGAGGTGGAATAAGGAGTAGCTATACTGCACTCCCTCTTTCTCGTTGTCCACAGCCCGTCGAGGCTGTCCATCTTCTTCATCACTGGCACCATTGGTAGTTGTATCACCAAGGATGACGCTGTCACTCCCTGACAGGGTCAGCTTGTCTACTTGGCTATTAGTGGAAGTGCGGATGCTGGAAAGTGATCCCAAGGAAGACAAATCAGAAAGGGGCCATGACAATGAACTGCTGCCACTGGCCTGTATACAAGACACTTACTGCTGAGCTGTTCCTACTTTGGAGACTGAAAGCTTTCTGAAGATCCTGCTTAAAGTTCTGAACTGCCGCCTGTCATCATAAGATTAATGGCACTGTCATCAGTTACTACTTGTTATGATGGCTTAATTGCTTAGGAGTTTCATAAAACACACTATGCTCTCAGTGTCTGTTTCCGTGACTTCACAAGTGCTGCTTCTATGATTGGAATGTACCATGCGCCAACCTCCTTCCAGCTAACTTACTCATCCTTCACTTCTCTGACTTGCTGTCATGTCCTCTGGAAGGCCTTCCCTGACATCACCCCTCACTGGCTACGTTATACAAGACACTCCTCCGACTTCCCACAGCTTCCTAGGCTTCCTTCTGTCACTGCACTTATCACTCCTGTCTTCCTTGCTATTCAAAGAATGCCTTAACAATGACCTTAGTCTATGTATTTCCAGCACTACAGATGTTCACTAAAAGTTTGTTAAATGACTGAATAAAAATGAAAATACAAATAAAAGACAAAAATTACATGATCGTTTCAATAGACACAGAAAAAACATCTGACAAAATCCAATACCTTTCCATGATAAAAACAGCCAAAGTAGAACTGCCTCAAGCTGACAAAAGGAATAAAGGAAAAACCCAGAGCTAACATCATACTTAACAGTGAAAGACTAAAAACTTTTCCCCTGAGGTCAGGAACAAGACAAGGATCCTACTCTCACCATTTCTATCCAACAATGTAGTAAAGTTCTAGCCAGAGCAAGAAAAAGAGATAAACGGTATCCAGATTAGAAAAGAAGTAAAACTATCTCTATCTGTAGATTACCTCATCTTGTATATAGGAAATCCTATGGAATACATACACATGCGAACTATTAGAACCAATAAATAAGTTCACCGAAGTTGCAGGATACAAGATCAATATATAGAAATTAGGACTGGGTGTGGAGGCTCACGCCTGTAATCCCAACTACTTGAAAAGCTGAGGTGGGAGGATCGCTACGCTAGAGGACAGAAGCTCAAGACTGGCCAGTGCAACACAGCAAGACTGTTTCTGAAAAGATTAAAAATTAGCTGGGCATGATGGTGTGTGCCCGTCACACACCTGAGCCTACTCAGGAGGCTGAGGTGGGAGGCTCACTTGAAACCAGGAGCTTGAGGCTGTAGTGAGCTCTGATCACACCACTGCATTTCAGCCTGGGTGATAGAGCAAGACTTCTCTTTAAAAACACACACACACACACACACACACAAATCAATTGTATTTCTTTCTTTTTGAGATGAGGGCTCACTCTGTCACCCAGGTGGACTGCAGTAGTGCAATCACAGCTCACTGCAGCCTTGACCTCCTGGGCTCAGTTGGTCCTCCCACCTCACCTCCCAAGTAGCTGGGACTACAGATTGCACCACCACACCTGGCCAATTTTTATAGAGATGGGGTCTTACTATCTTGCTCTGGCTGGTCTCAAACTCCTGGACTCAAGCGATCCTCCCACCTCAGCCTCCTAACGTGCTGGGAATATAGGCATGAGCCACCGTGCCTGGTCACCAATCATATCTCTATACACTAGCAATAAACAACCCAAAAGTTAAGCTAAGAAAACATATATTCATTTATAATACCATCAAAAAGAATAAAATGCTTGGAATTTAGCATAAAATGCTTAAAAACAAAATAAGTTTAAGATTTGTATACTAATAACTAACTATAAACCACTGAAAGAAATTAAAAACCTAAATAAATGATTTAAGTAAAGAAGACTTTAGTAAGTTATCTTCATGGTCACAGACTGGAAGCCTTAATATTGCTGAGATGACAGTACTCCCCATAAAAATCCCAACTACATTTTTTTTGCAGAAATCAACAAGCTGATCCTGAAATTCACATGGGAATGCAAAGGACCAATAACTGCCAAAACAATTTTGAAAAAGAACAGATTTGGAGGACTCATACTTCCTAATTTCAAAACTTACTACAGGCTGGGCATGGTGGCTCACACCTGTAATCCCAGCAATTTGGGAGGCCGAGGCAGGAGGATCACCTGAGGTCAGGAGTTCGAGACCAGCCTAGCCAACATGGTGAAACCCTATCTCTACTAAAAATACAAAAATTAGCGAGGCATAGTGGCAGGCGCCTGTAATCCCAGCTACTCGGGAGCCTGAGGCAGAAGAATCGCTTGAACCCAGGTGGTGGAGATTGCAATGAACTGAGATCGTGCCACTGTACTCTAGCCTAGGTGACAGAGCAAGACATTGTCTCAAAAAAAAAAAAAAAATACATATATATATGTACACAGCTCTGTAACTGACGCAAGTAAAGAATTTTTCATTAAAGGGAGTGAAGTTTTTTAATTTCTTATGCTGCTTTATGAAAGCAAAACAGTTTCTTCACTTTATTATCAACCTCCATGAAAATCTTGTTCTAACTACCTTTTAACTTACCTAGAATACAAAAGGCAGAGAACAAAGACAAACAGTCCAATAAAATTATCTGAATCCAGTAAAGACCCACTCTTTGATAGTGGAGTAGGGGTAGGGATCACAGCAGTTGAATTTCCAGGAGCCAGTGTTGGTGCAGTTATGCGTGTAATAAAGCTCATCAGGCTGGGGTTGCAGGAACGATCTGAAAATGAGAAAAATTTTATTATCCTTGGTTACAGCTCATCTTGTTTCAAGATAGGACTTGGGGAGTTCCTTACATATCATTCAGTCATGATGTGAAACATGGGAATGCTTTACTTAAAAAATCTGAAACTTAGCAGTCAGTAACACATTTGGTCACAATCAATGACTTAGAATTAGGAAAAAAAGAAAAGAACAACAAATCTGTCAAATTCCATAAACATCATTATTGATTTTATTGGTTTTGTAGTTTGACTGACAAATCTTTTTAATTCTTTAAAAGAGTGCCAAGGTTTTAAGCACAGAAGTTTATCTCTATTTTGGTTTCTACATAGTTACTTAACAACAAAAAATAAGTTATCATTGGTGGAGGGGGGGTCTGCATTTATCGTTTTCCTTTAAAAGAAGCCCACAGAATATCCTCCTGAGAAACAATCCTACAATAACTACAAAATCAGATTTCCCACAGCTGTTTTTTCTAGAGCCCGTGACGTCAAACTACAATTCAGTCAAAACAAAGGGCCAAAACAAGGCTGCCCTTGACCAGAGCTCTTAACTAGTTTGACTCAGCCTAGGTTAGGTAAAGCCTAGATCATCTGAAGGACTCTAACCCTTTAGGCTGTCAGTTATAAATAGCTATGAATAGATGTGGGGACTAAAACGTGAAAGGCAAATACCTACAAACCTACAGTGAACACTGTACGTTTAAGTTTTGTTTGCTTGTTTCACATTTGCTCTAGCTCTAGTTTTTATACCACCTATGTAAGGGCTGATTTCCTACTTTCTTTTTATCAAAAAAATGTGTTATTGACGTTCCCTTACCAGGTTCATTGGACATGGCTGACCAGGTGAGGTACATAGTGTAGAGGGTGATGAGGGAGGACTGCAAGAGGCCGGAGCGAGGCTGGTATTCCTATGGAATCAAAAGGAAAACAGTGGCAGAGGGACTGCCAAGGGCTGACTTTCCAAAATGCAGTACACTTCTCTGGGATTCATTCAACTATCAGTAACTGAGAACTTTCGGATTCTTCCTGAGAGTTGAAAGGTGACAAGTAACCTTTCAGTTCAGTTAGCTCGCAAAAGAACCCAGAAAGACGAAGCAAGTACTACTGGTTCTCAAGGCATTTCATGATCCTAGAAATTCCTGTTCATCACAGAAGGCCTTTGATTTTCTACTCCCTTGGTATAGTGAAAAGATTGAAGATCAGCTTTGCAACTAATTAGTAGCTGGGTAACACCTATCACTTCTTTGAGACTTGTTTTCTCACTTTTAAAAGGAAAGGTGATGTCTAGATAGAATTTTCATATTTCATATCTGTAACTCCATGAATTTTTTTAAACTTTTTTTTTTTTTTTTCCCCGAGATGGAGTCTTGCTCTTGTCACTCAGGCTGGAGTGCAGTGGTACAATCTCAGCTCACTGCAACTTCCTCCCGGGTTCAAGCTTTTCCTTGCCTCAGCCTCCTGAGTAGCTGGGATTACAGGTGCCCACCACCACGCCCGGCTAAGTGTTGTTCTTTTAGTAGAGAAGGTGTTTCATCATGTTGGCCAGGCTGGTCTCGAGCTCCTGACCTCAGATGATCTGCCCACCTCGGCCTCCCAAAGTGCTGGAATTACAGGCATAAACCATGGCGCCCAGTCGGAGTTTCGCTCTTGTTGCCCAGGCTGGAGCGCAATGGCGCAATCTCAGCTCACTGAAACTTCTGCCTCCAGGGTTCAGGCTATTCTCCTGCCCCTCAGCCTCCCAGGTAGTCTGGATTATAGGCATGCACCCCCATGCCAGGCTAATTTTGTATTTTTAGTAGAGACGACGTTTCACCATGTTGGTCAGGCTGATCTCAAACTCCTGACCTCAAGTGATCCACCCGCCTTGGCCTTCCAAAGTGCTGGGATTACAAGAGTTAAGCCACCACACGCAGCCTAAACTCTGGTATTTAAAACTCAAAAGCATGAGTTTTATTTTGAAATATTAAAATTAATTATTTTTCACAGTTTAATTCCCCTAAAATATCTTAGCTAATGACTCATAAGAATCATTTCCAGCCGCGTGCGGTGGCTCACGCCTATAATTCCAGCAATTTGGGAGGCTGAGATGGGTGGATCACCTGAGGTCACAAGTTCGAGACCAGCCTGGCCAACATGGTAAAACCCCGTTTCAACTAAAAACACAAAAATTAGCCAGGCATGGTGGCAGGCGCCTATAATCCCAGCTACTCGTGGGGCTGAGGCAGGAGAATCACTTGAACCCGGGAGGTGGAGGTTGCAGTGAGCCAAGATTACACCATCGCACTCCAGCCTAGGGGACAAGAGTGAGACTTCATCTCAAAAAACAACAAAAAACGAAGACTCATTCCTGGCCAGGCGTGGTGGTTTATGCCTGTAATCCCAGCACCATGGGAGGCCAAGGCGGGTGGATCACGAGGTCAATAGTTTAGCCTGGCCAAGATGGTGAAACTCTATCTCTACTAAAAATACAAAAATTGGCCAGGCGTGGTGGTGGACGCCTGTAATCCCAGCTACTCAGGAGTCTGAGGCAGAGAACTGCTTGAACCCAGGAGGCAGAGGTTGCAGTGAGCCGAGATCATGCCACTGCACTCCAGCCTGGGCAACAGAGTGAGACTCTGTCTCAAAAAAAAAAAAAAAAAATTTTTTTTAATGATTGTGAAATTCATTTAAATTATGATATAGGCATGAAATAGTATACTGTTTACTTAAGTTATAATTATGAAGATTCTATAATATGGAAAAATGTTCAAGTGGATAAACTTAGACATAAATTCATAAGAAAGGGTACCTAGATTTTAAGCTTAGAATTAAAAACCTTTCACAGGAGGAAGTAGTAGTAAACAATCATACCTGAATTTTTGGGTGGATCGATATAATAGAAGCCACAACGCAAAGGATCAGGTTAATACTGATGAAGAACTTGTTTTCTGTGCAGCCATCTGGTTTGGTGTAGTATGTATAGAGCAGCCCGACACAGATGATTGACAGGATATAAAAGGCGCTTGTGAAAGACAGTAAAGCTGGAGAAAAGGAAACCAATATGAACGATTCAACTGTAATAAACTAATAATGAAGGCGAATCTTCTTCCACTCCATATAAAAATGAGGAGACATTATTTCACTTTTCTGTGGTAAATTAGAGTACAATTACAAAGGCCTCAAGGTTAAAGTATCAAGATTGTATTTAATTGACTTGACGTTAAATTCCAAAATCCACCAAGCAACTGAATTCACTTCCGGAATTACCTAATTTGATTTCATGGGTTGATTACCAGACGTTTGATCACTCCAGCTAGAGTGAACTGCTACCTGTATATTAATTAATGTGTATTGTGAGCTTTTCTTGGGAACCTAAATGATCCCTACACCCTCAAAATGACCCAGTTCACAGCAAGCTCCATGCCAGGATGGTGTTAGAGGAAAACAGAATAGACACACAGGTATTTTTTTATGACAGTTTTTTCCTCTACAGTCACTGGCTATCTAAACCTATTTCCCATCACGAACAATAAGACTACATCCCTGAACTGGAAAAGTGGCTCATTTGCTATTTTTTAATATCTAAAGTAATGGGTCCTTTCAATTCACACTGATAATCAACAATCAGCTGTGCTGGCTGAGCATGGTGGCTCACGCCTGCAATCCCAGAACTTTGGGAGGCTGAGGTGGGTGGATTCCTTGAGCCTGAGTTCCAGACCAGCCCTGGCAACATGACAAAATCCTGTCTCTACAAAAAATACAAAAATCAGCCAGGCCTGGTGGCATGAGGCTGTAGCCCCAGCTACTTGGGAAGCTAAGGTAGGGGGATTGCTTGAGCCCACGACATAGAGGATGCAGCGAGTCGAGGTGGTGCCACTGCACTCCAGCTTCGACAACAGAACAAAACCCCATCTCAAACAACAAACAATTAGCTGTGTAGTTCTGAAAATTAGAAAACATGAAACAGCATATACAGTACACTCAGACCAACTGCAAGAATCATGAGCTCAGTTAACTTGTATTCAAGTCAAAGCCCAGATGTAAGACAACTAGTTTCTACTTATCCCAATGAATTTTGCATGTCTAAAATTAAATGATGTACATTAAGTTATTGGCACACTTCTTAATGTTTTCCCATCTGAATATACAAGATTTTTCTACACTTGTTATTATAAAGTATGACCAATTTGCAACTCATTAAATTCTTCTAGAGTTGTATGATCCAAAATGAATTAAAGAAAATAACAGCTGGGCATGGTGGCTCACGCTTGTAATCCTAACACTTTGGGAGGGCAAGACAGGTGGATCAATTGAGTCCAGGAGTTCCGGGGCAACATGGCAAAACCTTGTCTCTACAAAAAACACAAAAATTAGCTGGTCGTGGTGGTGTGGGCATGGTAGTGTGGGTATGGTGGTGTGCACCTGTAGTCCCAGCTACCTGGGAGGCTGAGATGGAGGACTGCTTGAGCCAGGAAGGCAGAGGTTGCAGTAAGCCATGATTGTGCCACTGTACTCCCAGCCTGAGTCACAGGGTGAGAGACCCAATCAAAAAAAAAAAAAAAGAAAGAACAAGAAAAGAAAGAGAGAGAGAGAGAGAGAGAAAGAAAAGAAAAGAAAAAAAGATAAAAATAAAATTGTCATTACAAACAATTTAAATGACCAACACTAGGGTAAAGTTAAATGAATTATGTATACTCTGCTATGGAATGCCATGGAATTGTATGGAATGGAATACCATGCAGCTTACAGTAAACTCCATGCCAGGAGCTTGAATGCAGGTTAAATGAGGAAGACATACCTACACTCGCTGTAAGGAAGGATATTCATCATGTAGGAAATGAAAAGAGCCAAGTCATGGAACAATATACAATACAATCCTGTTTACATTTAAATACAAAAGCAAGGTGAATGCATAAATACATAAAGGTCACAAGAGTGGCTACATCTGGAAAGGAAAATGGGTTGCAGATAGGTAAAGATTTGCATGTTTTATGTCTTTTTTTTTTTTTGAGACAGAGTCTCGCTCTGTTGCCCAGGCTGGAGTGCAGTGGCCGGATCTCAGCTCACTGCAAGCTCCGCCTCCCAGGTTTACGCCATTCTCCTGCCTCAGCCTCCTGAGTAGCTGGGACTACACGCGCTTGCCACCTTGCCCGGCTAGTTTTTTGTATTTTAGTAGAGACAGGGTTTCACCGTGTTAGACAGGATGGTCTCGATCTCCTGACCTCGTGATCCGCCCATCTCGGCCTCCCAAAGTGCTGGGTTACAGGTTTGACGCACCCCGCGCCCAGCCATGTTTTTAGTCTTTATAAAGTTATAAAGTGCTACATTGTCTTTATGGTAAACATAGTATTTAAAAAAAAATGTAAATATTTTAAAATCATAATCAAAATGAAAATAAAACTGGGCAATTCGACAGTATGTACTGAAAGCATTTAAAAATATTCATACACTTTGACTCTTCTATTTCTGGGAATTTGTCCTAAGGAAATAATCAGAAATGTGTGCAAATGTGTATCACAAGGTAGTTAGCGCTCTACCAGAGCCAAAATACATTCGCAACCTACTGTTAAATCCTACTCAGTCTAGAAATTTTAAGTGCCCCTTTTCCACCAGAAAGTTTTTCAGAGCAGGTGTGGGGTCCCTTTCTGAATAAGGCCATAAGGACTACTCACTCCTATCTGCCTAAAGTAGGTGGGCAGCTGTCTCATATGTTGAACCCATCTGAGTTTCCTCTCCATGGAAACAAGGTTATCAAAATCAGAACTAAAGTCACTAAATATAACTGTTTTTCCTTATCTAAACACAAGGAATTACATTATGACTCTCAAAATAAATAAATTGGGAAAACCCAACGATTTATATTATCTGTGCTACTTTCTTCCAGTGATGCATATAATTCAGAGCCAAATTCAGGAAATTATAGATTTTTTCCCTTTTATTTAATTTTATTATTATTTTGAGACAGGGTCTTGCTCTGTCACCCAGGCTGGAGTACAGCAGTGTGATGACAGCTTACCGCAGCTCTGAACCCCTGGGCTCCAGAGATTCTCCTGCCTTAGCCTTCTGAGTAGCTAGGACTATAGGTGTATGCCACCACGCCTGGCAATTTTTTTTTCTAATGTAAAGATGGAGTCTCAATATGCTGCCTAGGCTGGTCTTGAACTCCTGGATTCAAGCCATTCTCCTACCTTGGACTCTGTCGCTGAGGACTATAGCTGCTGGGACTATAATCATGATTTTTATTGTACACCCTGCTTAATGTAGCAGTATGGCTAACATAGGTGAGTAGAGATACCTACCGGCATACCACAACCTTGGGTTTCCTTCTTCCATTCGATTTACCCATGATTCATTCCAAGAATGAGCAAAGTCTACCAACAGCACCAGCTGAATGAGGATGAAGAGGGCGGCCCCTATCATGCCAGCAACAAACCAGACTACAAGAACCAAGAGAACAAGTTACTCTTTACCATAGAGTAACATTTCAGAAGATCCAACATTCTGAAAGGATTTCAATTAAAACAAGAGAGAGGTGGTAGACATTCTGTCTCTAGCAGTACAGCAAGATAAGCATTCTACTGGTTTTCAGACCTTTTAAAATACGTTTTAGCTTGTGCCAAGGGGAGCCTGGGACCTGAGTTCCAAATGATACTATAAGTCTTTTCTTTTAGAGGTGGGAAAATCATAGTAGAAATCTAAAGATGTCACCTGATGCATGCTAAGGAAGTAGGTTAAGACAGATACGGGAGCACAAGAGTTCTAAGTCCTTATTTTGACAGGCTCTCTGATTAGCTTTGTATTGCATCAAGTGAGAACACAAACTATTAAGATATTGCCAAAAGATTAACTTATGGTTCCAGAAAACCTGAGAGGTGCAGTGAATGCCTCCTGACTTCAAAACCACATATTAATGAGTAGCAGCCAGGCATGGTGGCTGACACCTATAATCCCAGCACTTCGGGAGGCTGAGGCAAGTGGATCACGAGGTCAGGAGTTCAAGACCAGCCTGGCCAAGATGGTGAAATCCCGTCTCTACCTAAAATACAAAAACTAGCTGGGCGTGGTGGTAGTGGGCGCCTGTAACCCCAGCTACTTGGGAGACTAAGGGAGAGAACTGCTTGAATCCAGGAGGCGGAGGTTGCAGTGAGCTGAGATCATGCAACTGCACTCCAGCCTGAGAGACAAGAGTGAGAGACTCTCTCACTATATATATATATATATAGAGAGAGAGAGAGAGAGAGAGAGATGCAGATACTAAGTCCTATTAATTGGATACCATCTCATTCAATTGTCAGTTCTGCAAAAACAGTAATTAAAATGTAGGTTTCTTTTTTTTTTTTTTGAGACAGAGTCTTGATCTTCACCCAGGCTGGAGTGCAGTAGCACGATATTGGCACACTGCAACCTCTGCCTCCCAGGTTCAAGCAATTTTGCTCCCTCAGCCTCCTGAGTACCTGGAATTACGGGTGTGCACCACCATGCCTGGCTAATTTTTGTATTTTTAGTAGAGACAGGGCTTCACCATATTGGCCAGGTTGGTCTCAAACTCCTGACCTCAGGTGATCCGCCCACCTTGGCCTCCCAAAGTGCTGAGCTTACAGGCATGAGCCACTGTGCCCGGCCTAAAATGTAGCTTTAACTCAATCATCTATAAAGTTTATATAGTTTAAAATTAACCCCCTCAAAGGTGAACTCTACCTGAGCTGAAATAGCCCCCAGGGATGTAGAAAGATCCAACCATGATTCCAATAAGGGCAGCAATTTTGAAGAACCAAAACCTATTAAAATATAAAAATGCATTTATGAAATGCTAAACTTTTTCACTATTATACTGAGAAAAATTCATTTCTGAAATGCAAAAATAATAGCTTAATAGCTTTTCCCCCCAACATGACTGTCTAGACTATTTTCTTCATTTGACTACTCATTTAATAGGCTAATTTATTTAATATTTCACACAATTAAAGGACAACATTAGCATAGAGGACAAATCACTCACATTTATTACCAGAGAAAACTGAAAATTTAGAGTCGCCCTACTTTTACCACTTAAAGGTAGGCATTTTTCTAGCATTCTGGGAGTTCTAAAGTAACAGTGTTAGGTACACACAGAGCCATTAACTGTAAGGTCTGAATGAAAAGTAATCACAAATCCTCTGCTTACAATACAGGGCACAGATACCTTGCCCACAATGACACAGCTCATCACTGGCACCTGATTTTCAGTTCATGATCTTTAGTGACTGCCTTGTATGGCAGAGTGGAAAGAACCAGGCTTTGGAGCTAGACAGATCTAAGTTTCAATCTTAGCTCCAACCTCCAACTGGTTAACAGGTCTCAGGCAATTTATTAACCCCTCTGCAATTCAGTTACTGCATCTGTAAAAAGGGGATTATAATACATATTAAGTTTACAAAACGCCATTCAGTCTTTTGAGAATTAGAAATATGGCTGGGCACAGTGGCTCACGCCTGTAAGCCCAGCACTTCAGGAGGCAAAGGCGGGCGGATCACCTGAGGTCTGGAGTTCTAGACCAGCCTGGCCAACACGGTGAAACCCCATCTCTACTAAAAATACAAAAATTAGCCAGGTATGGTGGCAGGTGCCTATAATCCCAGCTACTAGGGAGGCTGAGGCAGGAGAATCAGTTGAACCCGGGAGGGGAAGGTTGCAGTGAGCCGAGATCTCCAGCCTGGGTGACAAGAGTGAAACTCCATGTCCAAAAACAAAAACAAAACAACAAAAAAAAAGGGAGACAATTGGAAACATAGGTAAAAGGTGGTCAGGAGTCAGAAGCAATAGAATATGTAAATCAGTAGCACATATATATTCACTGATTTCTTGTACACTGTTTAACTTTATCAGGTACCTGTTTATCTTTAAACAACGGAAAAAAGAAAGTGTGTGTCTATGTCGTATCTAGCACAGTGCTTCAACTATTTAACAGGTGTTCAACAAAAATCTAAGAACATGAAGCAAAGGAATTTAAGAGAAGAAAATAAAAAGACAAGACTCCCTATCCTCTCCATGTTACAGCAATCTAACTAAATATGACATTAAAAAATTTCACATGCATAATAGACCAGAAATATATCTGAGTCACTCATTTACATATTCCATTGATTCCATCAGAATGGCAATATTAACTGCTGAAGGGAAGGAAGAGCCACACCATAATGTAACCAGTTAATCATAAATCTAACATACCCATTGTGTACTGCTGCTCGGGGATCTTTACTTGTTTTTACTTTCAACATGAGCAGAGAAAAGACAAAGAAAAAGATGGCCATTGCAAAGCTGATCCGATACACAGCTTTATAACCAACCAGCACATCACAATCTTTATCTGCATTTATATCAGCCTCATGGATTTTAAATCCCCCTTCACAAAATCCAGGAATCTGGAAAAAAGCAATTTCAGTGTTATCAGAATATTTATATTTAGACAGAGACTCTACCCCACCGCAGGAAAGACTGGATTTAGAAAATTAACTACTTCAACAACTGCGAGACTGACTATGGAATTTTTCTCTGTCTTCTGATGCATTTACAATCTTGTTACCAAACAGTATAAATAACTTGTATTTTAAAAATATAAATGCTCGTTCGCCTGGGCACAGTGGCCTGTAATCCCAGTACTTTGGGAGGCTGAGGTGGTTGGATCATGAGGTCAGGAGTTCAAGACAACCCTGGCCAGCATGGTGAAACCCCGTTTCTACTAAAAATACAAAAAATTACTAGGCATGGTAGTGCATGCCTATAATCCCAGCTACTTGGGAAGCTGAAGCAAGAGAATTGCTTGAACCCGGGAAGCGGAGGTTGCAGTGAGCCAAGATCCTGTTGCTGCACTCCAGCCTGGGCAACAGAGTGAGACTTTGTTTCACAAAAATATGCTCTCTTTTCTTTGCTCTTTTAGGCTGAAGAGGCTGTGTGCCACTTTCCCGTGAGATTTTCCAGCTACCACTGAGTCCTTCCAGAGGTGAAGAACTAGTCCAGTTTAGATGCTTCAACCTTTAACACATAAGGAAAGAAAATGTTTTGGAGGCACTCTTTTAATGTTTTCTCTCAGTTGCTCGACTGGAGCCTAAAGATGTTCATTCTGTATTTCCGGAAAAGGACTAACGTCCTCATATTTCTGTGTTCTGACCATACTCTGTATAAGTAAAAGATCTCCAAATTACAATGAACTTGATTAACAATGAAGAATTAAACTAGAATTTTGCAAAACATAAAAATAAAAATAACCAATACATTAAGGGCATTGTTACTTCTTACCTTCTTCAGGTACGTTTCCATCTCTTTTCTCTGCATGATATAGGATACAACAGTGCTCAGTAGGAGAATGAAAGCATAAATGAGGCGAGTCAACGTGGAATTCTTACTGTTAGGACAGCAACTACACAGCAAACATGAGGCACCGCTGCAGAGGCATGGAACCTGGAACGAGCACACCATGGTCACCTGAGAGCGCGTTCAGTAGACTCCTTTATGACACAGATGTCACAGAAGAGAAAGCGAGGCAAATCAGGCCTTACAGTTTTAACTGAGAGAATCATGGCTGGGAGGAAGTGGTTAAAAGTACGGGCTCTGGGCCGGGTGCGGTGGCTAACGCCTGTAATCCCAGCACTTTGGGAGGCTTATGTAGCGACGGCGTGGGTTCATCCATGTTGGCCCAGGCTGGTCTCAAACTCCTGACCTCAAGTGATCCG